AATTATACAATAAAAATCTTGCGATTGTTATCCACAATGTATTCAATAGCTTTTAGTTTAGCACTTCTGGACAACAGATCCTTAAAATCATTATCTGTGAGACCATTGCTGTGACGGCACTGAAGGCAAAACGCTTTCAGCGCCGGTAATCTTGAGATGTGCTCCAAATACTCGCGAGTTATTGTCTTAGTTTTGATGGATAGGTATTGAAGTCGTGGCCACTGTTTGTCACAATTAACAAATAATTTGTCACTCATTTTCCGTGACTTAAGTGTCAAATGTGTTAATCGGTGGCAGAGTGTCAACGGTTGTAACACATCCGGATTGAGGGCCACTTTAATGTGTAATACATTGTGCGCTAAATTCAATCGTTTTAATCGTAGATAACATCGCAATGAAACCAATAAATGGCTATTAAATTCATGGATAAAAACAATTTTTCCGTTCAATTGAAGTGTCAATCGTTGCAATTGTTTGCAATTTAAGCCAATTGTACGCAAAGTGTGTAATGAATTCTGACCACTCGTTAGCATTAAACCGAGTCTTAAATGCCGTAATTGTGTTAATCGTGACAATTGTCGGCAAAGTTTAGGTAAATTGTCGTAAACCATAAACAGAGCGCTTCTTAGGCACAGATTGTGTGCCACGAATGCAGACCATCGGCCGTCATCTGAATCGGTGTCCAAATATTCAAATAACTCAAATGAATGCAAATTCTTCGCCAAAAGAGTCCCGTTATATCCAAACGCTTTCCGGAATGAATCGATCCGTAATCGTGACAATTGGTGGCAATCAGTGATCGCTTCGCTGTCCGCAAAGTTGTCAATACGACCGATTCGTGTGACCAGTGGTCCGATTGAACGCATTGTTTGCGAACTATTTCGCCATAAATTGCAATAAATTTCCCGCAAATGACAGCAATTGTCGCGATAAATAGTCAACACTTCGGGAATGTATTCTTCAAATCTATCGCCTATTCCTCGACAGTCAATGGTTTCAATGTTTCCGCACTTTATGGCAATTGTGGCCACTATTTGGCGGATATTACTCTTCGGTAATTGTCTCATGAGTTTGTCGTCAATAGTAATGTCGCGAAGACTCACGAAGACTGTCCGCCGGAACTGTTTGGACAGCGATTCGCAACGGATGTGGTCTTCGAGCGGAAAGTATGACAACAGAAGTGCACACAAGTCGTCACCGAATCTGTCGATTGAGTTCTTCGCGTAAATCTGTGGCTAAAATGTGAGACAAATAACAATTAAAACTAAATTAACGTTAAAATGATTTTCAAAAACCTGTCGACTGTTGTCTTCGTTGCCGTCTTCGGTGGTAAGCATTGATGTCTTCGAGTGATTCATCTCATGTGCCATATCTTGGGATCAGTGTCGAGAATGGAAGGAAAGTAGTGTTATGCATCACCCTTATATTTTCAAGAAAATGTAGCACATACTTACTTTGATTAAAACATACACATAAAAACCGGTTTTGAGCAAACAATATGTTAAGGCATTACAT